ATCCATCCATCCATACACCCACTCATCCATCCATCCAACCATCCATCCATCCACCTAACCATCCATTCATCCATCTAACATCCATCCATCCATCCACTCATCCAACCATCCATTCATCCCTCCATTCACCTAACCATCCATCTAACATCCATCCAACTATCCATCCATCCATCCAACCAACTACTCATTTTTTCCACCTCTACTGAGATGTAGTTGAATGCTGACACCACTAGAAGACATCAGAGCTCAGTGTAGCCTGTCAGACATTGATTGTATTGGTGATTAAAGGTCCACACAAGCATCTGGGCCTGGGAGTCAATAAAACTGAGGTTTCAAACCCATTTAAATGGTTCTTCAGAGGGAACCATCTTATCGTGCATGTTGTGCATTCCACTTCAAAGCACACAAAACACAATGTTAACAGCAGGGCGTGGTTCCCTCACAGTCAAAGTGATTGCCCAATGCCAGATGGAGAAATTGAAGGCATTAGCAGATAAAGGATCAAATGTTTGAACATGGAACTCACAGTAAAAGATAACAAGAAGCTGATGACAACTAATACATTTGAACCTTAATTAGTTATTTTATTAATTATAATTAAGAGAAAACTTTGACTTTTAAAAGGATAAGCTGTATAGATAATGGATTGATTAATTAATGGATGGATGGGTGGATGGAAAAAACATTTTTGAAACAGAGTTCAATGCTGTGGGCCATCTCCTTCATTTTATTCAAGTTCAGTCTTCGGTTGGTTCAATAGGGTTCCTCTTCTCTATCAACAATCAGTGCTCTAATGAGCAGTCAACATTAGTGATAGTTTAGAAGATAGTTTTAAACAACGAGGGTCTGTTGAGTTGAGATTCAACGGGATTCATCTATCAACTAATTACTCAAATATCTGTCTGTATAACACATGGCTCACAAACTGTTTAGCTTATCGTCTTCACACTTGGCTCATGTAAAGGGCCAGGGGGGTGCAGTGTTATATCTAGCAGGATTTAAACATGTGATATGTTAGATATTAAAACCATTTAAATAAACAGACAACCAGCGCTCTGTGGCAGTCAGTGGGGATGCCCTCATTGACATCCTGCAGCTGGGTCAAACCCATAGACTGTATATAAACCGCAGGTCCAAACCCCTGATCCTTGATTCTTTGACTCTGTGATTGTTGTAGCTCACCGTGTTGGACTGACACAGACACTCACTGGTCTTCATCGCGGCACCGACATTCATTCAGACCCGCTCCACAAAATAACTTCAACACTGATTGGACAAGTGGGCGAGAAGTGAAAGAAGCTGAGGACCACCCTGCAGAGCCAAAGTAGGGGGTATGGCGTGCGCGTGCGTGTGCAGGAGGGGGCGTGGCCACGTCAGAAGGGGGTCGGAGTGGGAGGGGCGAAGCGGGCAGAAGGAGAGGGGAGCGGAGGGGATCGGGGCCGAGGGGAGGGGGGAGAGCGGTCGGTCCATGACATGAATGAACCATGTTCGGTAACGGAGGGTTAGCTCTCCCGGTCTGCTCCTTTCTGCTGCTGCACCTCCCGCTTCTCCCGCTGGCGAACAACTGGCCCGTTAAGGTAAATAGCTCGCGGAGGTTATCCGTCTGCAGAACGCGTTGGAGTCATGAGGGGGACTCGGTAGTTCGCTCCAATGGAGAACACTGAACTTCTCAAGTCTGTCACTCGGATGCTGCCTCGCTTGTCGTATAAGACACTGTCTGGTTTGACCTCTAAGAGCCATTTGATTCCAATTCGGCAGAGAGAGAATGAACACAGCAACCATGATGTGTGGGTTTGAGTGAAAGCCAAGAGGAGTTAGTGCTTCGAAGAAAAAAAACATGAAACCAAACTTTGTATTTAAAGATTGACTGTGACCGAATGCAGGACTATCACTGTTGTCTTCAGCGAACCTCCTACAGGACCCTGTGTGTGTGTGTGTGTGTGCGTGCGTGCGTGCGTGTGCGTGTGTCTTCAATGAAAAAACACCAGTTCATTTCTACTGCTGGTGATAGAGGCCCAAAAAGTTGTATTTACTGTAAAACTAATTTGTGGCTGTGTGTGTGTGTGTGTGTGTGTGTGTGTGTGTGTGTGTGTGTGTGTGAACGGTAATGACCTGTAGAAGGGGCTGTCTAACATGTGTTTACACCAGACGATAAACAAGGCAGCAGTGAAATGACATAAATGATGGAAGCTGTAAATGGAGTTTGTTGTACCCTCCTCTCCAAACCAGTTATAACTGAGGAAGGAGTCAAATCAAGCCTCATCCAATGAACGTGACCTGCTGTGTGTGGTTTATCTTAAGCATTAAAATACTTTCGGAGTGGGGTAAGATGTTTGGACTGTCATACTGCCCCCCCCATTCAACAAAAGCTTAATAACAGCTGCTTTGTTGAACTTGAACCATTTTGTACATCGGATGTAAAGAAGCAGTGTTTGCAACTACTAATCATGTTTTATTAATGCAGATGGTTGCAAATGTAAATCATGCTCATTTGAGACCCTTAAGTTCTCATGGTATGTTCGGTTCTAATTCTTGTCTGCAGAGGCCATATGCTTCCTTTTCAAGGAACACATCTTTAGTCCACTATAGTTCTGGCAGTGTTAAGTCTTAACTTTACTTAAGAGGTTCTCTCTTAAACTGGACATTCAGGCAAATTCACTTAATTACATCTCAGAGCAATAACAGCAACTTACACAGATACTGGCTGAGTAATAACACTCTGGGAGTTTATTTTTCATTGATGGTTTTGGTCCACATACTTCACTTTACAGTTGTGTTGATGTTATCCTTGCTTATCCCTGAAGGCAGTTATTAAAACTACACAGCTTTTTTGTTGTATGGAATGCCTGTCTTTATTTGGCCAAGTAATGTGCTTAGTTAGTTTGACTCCAATCTCATAGATTTGCTGATTAGAAAACACGCCTTAACATTGGAAAGTCATATCATATCTGTTTGGCTACTCTGTTCATTGTGGGCATGATGCAGAGTTAGCTGAGTGACAAACAGAACGACCGGCTGCCTGTCTGACCAGAGGGCTGAAACTCTGACTGTTAGACTGTGTAAAGAAGACAACATGGTGAGAGCCAGCAGCCAGCCCATCAGGGTGACTTGGGCTTTCATGGTTGAAACTCTAAACAGATGCATTGCCAAAGACTGCGCAAACAATTGTTTGCAGACACCAGTTCTCACAGTTCTTCCTTTAAATGGTAAAAAAAATGCTCAGTTTCTTTGCTCATGACTGATCTGAGCAGTCTTGCAGCAGAGATGGTTGATAAAATGCCCCATGTTTGTCTGGTTAGCATAGATTTTTTAATTCAGTCCATTCATTCTTGCCAATGAAACAGAAAAAAAGGTTTAAAGTACAGTGAACTGAAAAGAGGCCTGGATAAAAGTGATGCCAGCAGTAAAATAGTAAAAAGTTGTGTAGTGCACACAGCAACTGGCATGACATCTAATATAGTCTTTTGGCAAGACATCAACTTCCAACAACGCTACAGCAGTCTTTGCTCATTATAACACACAAACATAATGAACCATAGCGATAGTGAAGTAATGATTCTATTTAAAGGATTGCATTCATTGTGGTAACTTCATTTTGTTTTAACTAGCAGTCGTTATTTTTCCTGTAAAGATGTGGAGAGACAAATGGCTTAATTCAACATGCACCTTTTTATCACGTATGCAGCTGTATGCTGAGCAACAGGCCTGTAGACAAAAAGATTTATTTTATATTTATGTGCAAATGTAGTGTTATTTTGATATAATCAAGGAACATTGCTCAGATGAAATAAATATTTAATTTCAGAGACATTATCTTTTCACTGTGTATTCATGTCTTTGCCCTCACACTAATTCAAAAGGAATTTGTAATTCTTTAAACTTAAACTTGCCACATAAATATTTTGATGACACACCTTAAATGGGCTATTTGCTAGAGTCTTTTGTTTACTCCCCAATTGAGTAGAAATGGTGCAAGTCTATTTATTTACTCCCCAAGAACTGTCTTTAGTGGTGGAACAGCAGTTTGAACTTTTGTTTGGTTTTTCTTGACGTTCGCATGCTTACCACCTTGTTCAGTCTCCTCACTTTTCGAATAATCTGAACTCTACACTTTCAACCAGTTCATAAACTTTCTGCTGGACTGAACCAAAATTGTATCATTGCAACAGTGGTAATAGTTGATCCATAGACAATGTTATAAATGGCCATTTTTACTATGATTTCAGGATCTGCTGCTCAGGAGCACAGAAATCACAATGACACACGATGGGGCTTCCACCTTCTAGTGTTCTTCTTTTATCTTCTTTGTTTTTGTGCAAAGGCAAGGAGAGAGCTTTTAATTGGAGACACATGTAGGTGTAAATGTAATCAGGTTAAAATTGAATATAGATAGAATCTGGATACAAAATGCATTGTTTAGTTTCTCCTCATCCTAATTCGTCCTTAAACTCCAAACCTCTAGAAGAAGTGTAGGAC